TTATTTCCGACCCGGACAATTTTAGGGGTCTACACTAGTAAGGGCATAGAAGTAGATCCTACAAAAGTCTCTGTTATTTCACAATTGCCTTACCCTTCTTGCGTGTGAGAGGTTCAATCTTTTCTTGGCCATGCAGGTTTCTACAGACGCTTCGTCAAAGAATTCAGCAAGAAGGCTCTTCTGCTATCCAATCTACTACAAAAAGATGTTGATTTTGTTTTTAATGACAGATGTAAACAGGCTTTTGACTGCCTCAAGGAAGCACTCACCACCACTCCAATCATTCAGGCACCTGATTGGATAGTCCCATTCGAGCTGATGTGTGATGCATCCAATTATGTATTGGGAGCTGTCCTAGCACAAAGAGTTGACAAGTTGCCTCGAGTGATATATTATGCTTCTAGGACTTTGGACGCTACCCAAGCAAACTACACTACCACAAAGAAAGAGCTTCTCGCCATTGTTTTTTCTCTTGATAAATTTAGATCTTATTTGCTTGGTTCTCGTGTTATTGTCTATACTGACCATGCAGCTCTGAAGTTCCTACTGAAAAAGGCTGAGTCAAAGCCTAGATTGATCAGGTGGATGCTTTGGCTGCAGGAGTTTGATTTGGATATCCGAGACAGGAGTGGAGCTTAGAATTTAGTGGCAGACCATCTCAACAGAATTGAAAGAGCTGGGGACAGTGCTGATGTCTTGCCCATCCAGGATAACTTTCCTGATGAAAATTTGTTGCTGTTTCTGTTCCTTCCCCCACCCCTTGGTTTGCGAACATTGTCAATTATTTAGTTGCTTCTATTTTTCCTCCTTTAGCATCTAGAGCTCAGATTGATAAACTTAAGAGTGATGCTAAACATTATGTTTGGGATGACCCCTATTTGTGGAAGTTTTGTAGTGATCAGGTAATCAGGAGATGCTTACCAGACCATGAGATTGACTCGGTCTTGCAGTTCTGTCATTCTTCTGCATCTGGTGGTCATCTTGGCATTCAGGGGACATCTCGCAAGGTGCTTGACTGTGGTTTTTACTGGCCCACCATCTTCAAGGATGCGTGGAAGATTTGCAGCACTTGTGAGCAGTGTCAGAGAGCAGGAGGAGCCCTTTCTTGGAGACAGCAGATGCCTCAGCAACCCATGCTATTCTGTGAGGTCTTAGATGTCTGGGGTATAGATTTCATGGGTCCTTTTCCTATCTCTTTTGTTTTTTCATATATTCTCCTAGCTATTGATTGTTTCAAAATGGGTGGAAGCCAAAGCCACCAGAACTAATGATGCTCGGGTTGTTGTGGATTTTGTCAGATCTAACATATTTTGCAGGTTTGGAGTGCCCAGAGCTATTGTTAGTGATCAGGGCACCCATTTTTGTAACAGATCCATGCAAGCCTTGCTTAGGAAGTATGGGTAGTGCACAGAATTTATACACCCTACCACCCCCAAACCAATGGGCAAGCTGAAATTTCAAACAGGGAGATCAAGAGAATGTTAGAGAAGATTGTCCAGCCCAACAGAAAAGATTGGAGTAACAGGTTGGATGATGCTCTTTGGGCGCATAGGACTGCCTACAAAGCACCCATAGGGATGTCTCCTTATCGGGTTGTCTTTGGCAAGGCATGTCATTTACCTGTTGAGATTGAGCATCGGGCCTACTGGGTTGTGAAGACCTGCAACTTCTCCATTGATCAGGCTGGTGAGGAAAGGAGGTTGCAACTAAATGAGCTTGATGAGATCCGCTTGGAAGCCTACGAGAATTCAAAATTCTACAAGGAGAAAACCAAGAAGTTCCATGACAGCTTGATAGCTAGGAAGGACTTCGTGGTTGGCCAGAAAGTTCTATTGTACAATTCTCGGCTCGGACTCATGGGTGGTAAGTTACGATCAAAGTGGATTGGACCTTTTGTTGTTACTAATGTTTATCCTTATGGTACAGTTGAGATCAAAAGTGAATCCACATATAAGAGCTTTAAAGTCAATGGACACCAGCTGAAGCCATTCCTCAACAATCCATCTTTGTTGAATGCAGTGGTAGAGGAGATGTCTCTGCTTGACCCTGCTTCTCTCCCACTACCATGACTTAGGGAGTTTTCTTTCTCCTTCTCATTCTTTGCTTTTATTACATATGTCCAATTCTGTTGATTGTTCTGATTGCTCTGATCTTATGTGTGTGCAACATTGGGACAATGTGTAGTTTAAGTGTGGGGGGGATTGTTTTGGTTATATGTTTGTAGGGTTTAATTTTTATTTTTGGGTCTAGGTTTTATGTTTAGTTGTTATGTACAGTTTTGCATGTTTCTCTTTGATTTCTGGGTTTTGATAGTTTGTAGGCACTTACTTCATTCTTGGATAGGAGTTTCTTAATACTATATGGTTTGAAATCCCTATTTTTCTCTGCTTGGAAAAATGATTTTGAGCTTTGAGAGGTTGTTCTAATTGTGACAGATATACCCTGTGTGAGGATTTGAGCCACTTTCTGTTCTTTCTTGTGTGTTATGCCTCTTGATTTCTTGCATAGTTGCCTTGTCTTGACTCTGTTTGATACTTCTTGATTCACATGCATGTTTAGATACGACTAAGGCATTTTGATTCTCATAAGCCCCTAGCCAAATAAGCATACCTTGAATTAACTCCTCTGATAACCCCTGCTGAGCCTATTTCCCCTTCTTTGTTTGAAGCTCATTACAAAGAACCTCCTGGCCATTGCTCTACCCTATCCACTAAGCTCTGAAGCAGTCAAATCTTTAAGTAACCTC